TTCAGCGCCCTGAGCGATCTATATCATTACTATGGTTTGACTACCTCACGAAAGTATGTGGAACAGTTCTCGAATGGATATACGGTCATGTCATTGTACATTCGTCAGCTACCAGGAGGTGCAGGTGCGAAGCACCCACCTATCGAGGCCAGCATCCACCAAATCATCAAGGAAGTGTCCCTTCTGTATTGTATTCCTCAGACCAAGTTTCAGACCTTGTTCGCCACCAGCAGGCTGAGCCTACAGGAGACGGTATACGCACACTGCGTATGGGTATTTGTAACCCATTTCCTCAATCGTCTAGGCAATGAGTACACTGCCCTCGCTTCTATTCTAAATATTGAGAACAGTGCTCACGCAGAGCTACTCTCCAAATTAAAGCGACGGCTACGTGCCGAGACTTTTACCGCCGACTACATCCTTGAGATCATTAACACATACCCCGAGCTGGTTCACACGCTCTATCTTTCATTCGCCAAAACACACTATGTCCAGACACGTGGCGAACAAGATGACTTCCTTCCGACTCTGAGTTACCTTCGTCTGACAATCGACAAGGTTCAATCCGACGAAGAACTTACAGACACGATCAACAAGGCCGCTATCAATGAGCATCATGCAATGGTGATGGACTCCTTCCGCATTTTCAACAACTGCGTGTTGAAAACCAACTTTTTTACACCAACCAAGGTCGCCATCAGCTTCCGGTTGAACCCAATCTTCCTACCACCGTCCGAGTATCCTCAGCCGCTGTTCGGTATGTTCCTTGTGATTGGCTCTGAGTTCCGTGGTTTCCATCTTCGTTTCCGCGACATTGCTCGTGGTGGTATTCGTATCGTCAAGTCTCGGAGTCAAGAAGCATATTCCATAAATGCGCGCTCGCTATTCGACGAAAACTACAACTTAGCCAACACCCAACAGCGTAAGAATAAGGATATTCCTGAAGGAGGTTCAAAGGGCGTTGTCCTACTGGACTTTGCCCACCAAGACAAAGCAGCTGGTGCTTTTGAGAAGTATATTGATAGTATCTTGGATCTTCTCCTGCCCCCAACCAGCCCTGGAATTAAGGATCCAATTGTCGATCTACATGGCAAAGAGGAGATCCTTTTTATGGGCCCTGACGAGAACACGGCTGATTTGGTCGATTGGGCAACAGAGCATGCCCGATCTCGCGGTGCACCTTGGTGGAAGTCGTTCTTCACTGGTAAGAGCCCGAAGCTTGGGGGCATTCCACATGACCGCTATGGCATGACTACGCTCTCTGTCCGAGAGTACGTTTTGGGTATCTATCGCAAGCTAAATCTTGATCCTAGCAAGGTCAAGAAGCTACAAACTGGAGGTCCAGACGGTGACCTAGGATCAAACGAAATCCTCCTCAGCAATGAGAAGTACATTTCCATTGTCGATGGATCTGGTGTATTGGTTGACCCCAAGGGTATTAATCATGAAGAATTGCTTCGACTAGCTAAGGAACGCAAGATGATTGTCAACTTTGATATCTCGAAGCTATCATCTGAAGGATATCGTGTTCTTGTCGATGATACCAATATCCGACTACCAAACGGAGACCTTGTCTACAACGGTACCACCTTCCGCAACACCTTCCATCTTCGCAGCGACATTCAGTATGATACTTTTGTACCCTGCGGTGGCCGACCCGAGTCTATCGATCTCACTTCGGCTAACAAGCTCATTGTGGACGGCAAATCGGTGATCCCCTATATCGTAGAAGGTGCAAACCTTTTTATTACCCAAGACGCGAAGCTCCGTCTTGAGAAGGCTGGATGTATACTATATAAGGACGCCTCAGCCAACAAGGGAGGAGTGACATCTTCATCCCTTGAGGTCCTTGCCTCGCTCTCCTTTGACGATGAGAGCTTCCTCAAGCACATGTGTGTCGGCGAAGACGGTACAGTCCCCGAATTCTACAACAACTACGTCCGTCAAGTGCAAAAGACGATTCAGAACAACGCGCGTCTTGAATTTGAGGCCATCTGGCGCGAACACCAAGTCACTAAACAGCCTCGCAGCATCCTGTCCGACACGCTTAGCAACGCCATCACTAAGCTGGATGAGGAGCTACAAAACACTGATCTTTGGAACCAAGTTGAGTTCAAGAAGGCTGTACTTAGCGAGGCGTTGCCGAATTTGTTGCTTGAGCAAATTGGTTTGGATAAAATTATGGAGAGAGTAAGTTTTCCAATGCCATACAATATCAACTCAAAATGATCACGGTGCAAGTTATCAGAGCAAAGCTAATGAATACTAGGTCCCAGAAAATTATCTCCGCGCTATTTTCGGAAGCTACCTCGCAAGTCGCTTTGTTTACCAGTATGGTGTGTCGGCGAGTCAATTTGCCTTCTTTGACTTTATGAGTAAACGCATGGCGAAGATGCCTGGCTCTTCTGCTGTGACGCACTAGATATCTCAAGGATAAAGGCTCAAAACAAAACACATGGATGGCGTATTTTGGTTGAATGGGCTGGGTGGATGAGAAAAGTTTAATCGAATTACATGACGGTCATGGGACGGCGCTAAGATGTCAGCGGCTATTTTTCGTATACCGTTCTAGATTAATACTATGGTTCGCACCTGACTAGACTATTGCTGTTTGGTATCATCATTGTGTTATAATATTGGCTGTGATGTATGTGTTGTCACCTCGTTCTTAACTTACCATGTCCTGGCACGTGGGTGGGCAAAGTGTTCATATGAAACCAAAGTTCATACATTTCTACCTATTATTACGCGAGAAACAAAGCTAGCCCTTGACAAGGTACCGTACCACTAGATGCAGCTCCGCTTAACCCATTTATACCATTCATCATCTGGCCGCTTATTGGCTATTGGGTTTGTTATGATTGCGAGACGTGTCTCGCTTCCAGGATTCCTATAAAGTGTTGGCAAGTAGGTGGGCATCCCCGCGCTTCCCATTTCCTACTTCGACTTTCAAACAATAAGATTTATTCCCCCAACCTGTCGCATTTTCGGCACACGCTCTGGTAATGGCTGCTGCTACACGGGCAAGAACAGGTAACTCCAAACCGCGCGTCGTGCAAGTTATCGAAAATGTCGTCGCACCCAAAGCAAACTCGAGCAAACCGCGCTCCAGCAAGGTGACAACAGGTCGCGTCGCGAAGCCAAAGACTACCACGACCAAAAAAACCACAGGCGCTGGCGCAAATGTCAAGGCAGTCAAAAAGCCGCGTACCAAGACGGAGAAGGTCATTGGCAAGATCGTGGGCACAGGCGAGCAAGTTGTAGGTGATGTAGAAGGCAAACCAGGGAAGAAGGTATGTTAGCCAACATCAGCAGTTTTTGAGTTGTTGTGTATGGAATACAAGTATCAATTTGCTAATAGGCTTCAAATTAGGCTGCTGGGACGAGAAAAGCCCCTGGTACGGACTCGATGACGAAGCGCGCAGCGCCCAAGACGAAGAAGGCTGCTATCTAGGATTTGTGTGTCTAAACTGTGTGTTATGAGATGTGAGATGTGAGATGTGATGGGCCACCTTGTTGGTGGACGAGGAAAGGTTCCTCAAATGATGACCACATATGGTTCTCAAGAGTTCCCTAAGAGTGGTTAATTAGGAGATGTTTGGATGTTTGGCGTGCAAGGGGCGAACGCATGATCAAGGGCATCGCGGTCGGGGCGGCCAGATATGAGAGGCTGGGTGGGTTTGATGAGGATGCACTTTATCTGCTGATGTTTGCATCCGTTGGATGCGCTCAAATTATATCACCTCCTTTCTTGCCATATCTTATCGTCTATTCTCCTTGCTCATGTTCAAGGGTTTATACTTCAATCTCTGCTGTTACTAAAGTATGATCTACCCATACCCAAACCATAATAAAATCCTGCGAAGTTTCATGTTATCGGACATTAGCGACATGTATCCTACCCTCACAGTCTTCGCTGTGTTAATATTGATATAATATTAGATATCCACTTGGTCCTTCACGTAGCCCATAGCGGCATGGACAGAGTTTTAATCAGACGACTTTTATTGCATTTCCAATTCACTTTATGAATCTAGCGATAAGTCATCATGTGCTGGACATGGGAGTATGGCCCGTCAATCGCGATGGGCCATCCTCTCCAGAATGAGTAATTGGCTCAGAAACAAGACGATGTTCTGCGGAAATTCGAGCGATAGCTGCGCGGGACATCTCTCCTCTCCTAGACTTTGCCTCATTCAATTTTGTGAGAAAATTCGTTTGCGGTAGTCGTGTGGTGGATTGTTGGTTCTCAATGGCAGGCGCACTTGCATCCTGTCCTACCCCAACACTTGTAGGCTGTGCGGCTCTTTCGACAACAATAGTTTCATCATGAGGCCGGAGCCGTCCAACTTTTGCAATCAGTTTTGCTGTGCCCAATGCCATCAGATCCACCGAGGGCAGCGAACGCAAAGGCTGAGGTGAGTCACTTCTATCCCTAGGTTTGCTGAATAACATATCGGTCCCAATTGCTGAAGTCCAATGACAACTTAGGAGCTGGTCATTATACATGATGAGTGGGTTTTTTGTGTGCAATCCGGAGATCTGGATTTCGCCTATGGTCGCTGCCTCGCGTGCATTGGGAGTTTCGATGGTGGTGTCAAGCCCTTGGCCTCGCGTTGCGTTGAGCGCTCGCAGCCTGCTCTTTAGCAGTGTCGGGTGCCCTGGTCTTCGCTCTGGATTCGTTGGTACCTGGGAGCTAGGGACATTGGATAAGTCGAGTGGGATGTAAAAGTCTTCAGTCTCTGTTGACTCGTACTCGAACTCCCATTCGACATCGTCCTTGTCGGTCATGAAGAGAAATTATGGCGGGTCTCAAATGTGTTTGTTGGGGAAGAGAGTTTTGAGGACTTGTACAGTGGCTGGCGAGTCAAAAAGAGAACTAGCGCCGTATTTGGTATGTTTGGTAGATTTCCCCTAGTTCAAAAGAGGTTATCTACGATGTAAAACGCCTTGTCACCATCTTCCAACAAGATCCCAAGCACGGCTCAGTCGTCGCATTCCTCCGCTTGGTGTAGTTGGTTTATCACGTTCGACTGTAATATTCGTTGTAATCGAAAGGTCCCTAGTTCGATTCTGGGAGCGGAGATAATTTTTGCCTTTCGTTTGTAAATTTCAATCACCATACCTATGCTTTGAATTTGGATACGAGGATATATATCACAGGATGGGTGGCCATGATATTTTATATAATACTGACTAATGGTAGCCTGTTAAAGGCGACCAGAGGTTCAGAAGTTGTAATGTACAAAACCTGAGATGTCTCGTAACTAATTACCTACTTGCCAATCATTTTGTGCTTCAGTACGACAACTTAGGTGGGTACAGGTATTCTCTGCAATTAGCACGAAGAATGCCACTATATAGTATAGCCCGGCCTTGATTGTCTAATAAAGGGTAGACTAGCACAAGGTTGACCTTTCCATGCATCGCTAATTTACGGGGACAATCGCCATATCGTAATCCCGGCCCGTAGATAAGTACCCGCCCGCTTAGCGCCATGCGCCATGGGCGTCTTCCACGCGTAATGTTTGATGTCAGCTACATCCACATCTTCACTGCCGTCGCATTGAAGCACTATTACAATGAGCGACACGGAACCATCCTAGTTATCTTTAGGAATTGCTAATAGGATAGGCTAGGTTTATCAGTAAGTGAAATTTCATTCTTGTTCGGCCTACCCAGATTATGGACGTCACCACCAGCCTATCCGGCTCTCCCGCAATTTGCTCGCACTCACGTCACTCAATTGTACACATGTTCTTCTGCATGATATGCCCAACCTTTCTACGAAAACGCCTGCCTATCCGTGCATTTCTTAATGCTGCTTCTCAATGGCCGCCAAAATGAGTTTTGTCGGCTTCGGAAGCGTCGGACTAATTCCTCGCTTCACTCTATACACTTCTCTATGATGTTTATCAAGTCAGTAGCCACCTGCTAATCGTTTAGTGCCTATCATCCCCTATTTTCAGAATGGCGGTGGGCAGGTCCCACTGCAGAAGCTTCTCGCGTCATCACCTTTGGCGGCCTCTGTATCCCAGGTCGACATTCCTGAATACCCCCCGGTAGCGACATATACCTCTCCGGCTGCCATTAGTACATCAGAATTTGCGCCGGATGTTTCTTATGAGCGCGTTGTACCTACCGTTGATATCTCTCTAGACCCCTCCTCGCATGTTCATACAGCCGAGAAAGCCCAAGAATCTCCCGCTGGGGTTGCTCGATCGTCGGTCATTTCAAACATACAGGTGAGGGGAAGAAAATCTGTGATAACTGTGACAGAGCGTTTTCTTGGCCTGTTCTCTTTCTCTCAACTCTATCAAAATGTTATATTCAGTCGCATCACACCTTGGTCGGTAACTACAGAACAACCAATTCAGGTTAGATCATCATATTCTTGGTTGGAACATAAGTTCTGCAGTTGGTCTGGGCTTTGCGAGCCAGCTCACTTGGATGAGGCGAGATGGGCTGGCAGGTTCAAGGAATACATGATAAATTTGACCGCGTTCTTACATGATGCTCCAGCACCCCCGGATGATTGGCCTTCACAGGAGCGGGAGATACCACAATATGTTCTTGACTATGCGCCCCTCATTCATCTCTTTTCTGGAGAGGAATATTGGCCAGGTGACATGGGAGAACACCTGTATCATACCACACCACACCTCAACTACACACCCCTCCAAGCGACTGATGATCATCCACATCTGAAAAATTTGGGCGACCTGAACAAGTGGGGTTGGTCTGTCTACCTGCAGAGCGATGACAATGTTGAGGATCGGCCGGATTGGCTTGCAGGGGAGACTAATATACCAGCTATACCAGACGGAGACAAAGAAGATTATGAGAGGGAGGATCATGGCCATACAGAAGGTTGCTACGAGGAAGATAAGAACAGCGAACATTCTCCTTGGTTTCGTTCTGGTGTAGGCGACACTGAAGATAAAGGCGGTATACGGGCATTGCCTCCTACGTCTCTTAGCCCTCCTCACCCTACTAGAAAGCCCGGAAGTGAAGAGCACTCTAGAAACGAAGAAGTACGGCAGCCAGGGCTACGAAGCCATCCTCGCCGTTTAATGGGCAAAAAGGTCATTGGCGGTAGGAGCGGTGCGCCTGCAGTGCTTATCGTTGTGCCCAAAGATGACGGCGTTGTAGACGCATTTTGGTTTTTTTTTTATTCCTACAACCTTGGAAATGCAGTGTTCAATGTCAGGTTTGGTAATCACGTTGGCGATTGGGAGCATACGGTTGTTCGGTTCCATAATGGCGAGCCGAAGGCCGTATTCTTTAGTGAGCACAATTTTGGGGCGGCTTATACTTACCAGGCCGTGGAGAAGGCAGGGAAGCGAGTGAGTCTGTTGTCATCGATTACATGAACCATTGTCTAATTGTTATAGCCCATCGGGTATTCTGCTACGGGTTCTCACGCCATGTATGGCACACCTGGAGTACACCCATACGTTCTGCCTGGCGGCATTCTGCACGATGTAACTGACCGTGGACCCTTGTGGGATCCTGTTAAGAATTTGTATTCTTTCACGTATAACTACACAAGCGACGCGCTGTTACCTTCCAATCTTACACCAACGGTACCTACAAGCTGGTTTTACTTTGCAGGCCATTGGGGTGACAAGCTCTATCCGTTGAGCGATCCACGACAGTACCGCTTTCTAGACCAATATCATTACGTCAATGGCCCACTTGGTCCGCGATTCAAAAACTTGGGCCGTCAGGCGATCTGCCAGGGTAACGATGAGTGTGTACTGAAGAAGTGGATTGGCAAGCCTGAGACCCTGGTCAAGACATACCCTGATATCGGTCAAGGTGATGAGATGAGGGAGGAAGGCGCAAAGATTTTTTTTGGTGCTGAATATGATTCTGCGTCGTGATGGAGACACAAGGGGAAATGACCGCACAGAAAGCAACCTTTTACATGTACCAGCAGCCGTGTGGCATTATGACCTAATTACGGGAGTACATGGGTTTACGTGGCGTTCTATTTGGCTTAAATCCAAGCATGAAGCTCGTTTTTTATTTGAGCGATCCGCATATACCATAACAACAGAATGCTACTGTTGCGAGAATGTAACTTACTCAAAAGATGACCACCATCATTTTTGGGGGCTGTTGCCTATATAGACAAAGCCAGCTTTGAGCTCATCAGGTTTTGCGAGCTTTGAATCAAAATAGTGCGGCCACCGTGATGGGAAGATTGCAACTTTCAACAATTTGATGCTTGCTTCGGCCGTTTTCGAGGCTACCATCACAGTTTCTTCGAAGCAAGCGTAAACAAAACCATGGTGGTTCTGCGGCAGGTTTGCCGGCCAAATGGTGGTTGCTGGTTGTCATAGTGGTGTAATGGCTTGTTGTTTCTGACGCCGAGTACATGTGGGCACGCCGGTCCGACCGACCCCCAGTAACCAAGCATGGTTTATTTGGCTACTCGGTCGGATATGGAGAGGAAATAGAATGGGTACGGGGACTTTGCATGCTGCGATCATCGGCTCATCTCATCATCACTCGCAGAAATCACGTTGGTGCAAAGGTGGGGTGATTAGTCGGTGCCCGAGCTCCCTATCGCTCATTATCTTGGGTGCTTGGTCTTGATTGACTTATCATTCAGTTCCTCAACACACCTGTGCTTCGTATCCGTGTCCTCGAGCTTTCCCTTGAATTGTGCTTTCGTGTCCTAGACTTATGCTGAGTGGTAAATTATATTAATTCCATAGAATCTTTGTTTCCCCGGGATTTGCGCTTGATCATCCGCCAAACTTGAAACGGGTAGTTGAATCCGTTTTAGCGCGGGTTTGCCAGGTGGTGACATCGTTGGTCCATCCATCCCAACCCACCTATTACACCGCTAGACTCCCGTAGAGAGCAGGCTGTCAACGTCGTGACATGACAGGGCACGAGGCCTTGTTGACGATAACAACAACAATAACAGTAACATTCACGGTGTCTTCTACTTTGATACGGCGCTTACATACCGATTTACTGTACTTTCCCTAACCACTACTTATTGTTAGTATTATTATCATCATTCCCTGGACAAGATCCCGTATCTGTCCGAAGGCCTCGTGCCTTGCTTGCTCTTAGGAGGGTGGGACGACGTGTCTCCGAGATCGCCACAGCATTACAGCATTACAGCATTACAGCATTACAGCACTACAACACTACAGCACCACACCACCACACCACCACACCACCACACGTGCAGCTGCTGGACGCGCCCCTTCCCTACTCCCTACCTGCACTACCTACACTACCTTGGCATATCATGGCCTTTCGACAGCAACAACGCCCTCAAAGCTCGCGGCAGCAGAAGTCGTACCATGCACCAGATCCTGTTGTCCCTATTATCCCCGTCGGAAGCACTTCACAATTACTCAAGCGGCCACTAGACCAGTCCGAGGAATGGGTTCTCTTCTCCCCAGTAGCGCCCTCAGCGGCCGCTCGCACACATACCACCTCGACCGACCGAACCGCGCGAACTGCTGGCCTGTCGCGGTTTAGTGAATTTGGCTCGCTCGAAACGGCAGCTCAGTCAGAGCAAGATGGCGAGGGTGGGTCAGTCTTGGGCACAGAGGAGGAACTGGACAGCCTGGACGAGGGTCTACACGCCTTCCATGAACCCTCTGAATATGGCCCATCTGCGAGCAGGCTGCTCCAAAGCGGCGAGACGGTTTTACCGACCCACGACGGACTCGGCGCCTTCGAGCCCGACGCAGCAATGCAGGAACACATGTGGCAGTTTGAGCGGCCACGTCGGCGCATTGTACGCCGGCGTTCTAGCGTCCAACGGCATTTTACTGTACTCGATGACACAGAGGAGGGGAACCAAGAGCTGGAACGGCGGCACCGCATCGAAAAGTGGCGGTTGGACCAGAGCAAAGTGCTCCTCGAAGAAATCGAGAAAGAAACAAGACGTCGGCGGCGTATTAGTATAGTCAACGCCGCACAAAGTCAAGTAGACAGTACGCCACTACTTGCAACTACGCCACCACAAGCCTTACCCTCTATCACAGACACGCAGAGTGAGTCCTCCGATGACAGCACAGAGGGCTTGTCGTTCTGGCAGCGAATAACAAG